TTGTGTTGGGCACAGTACAAATACATAGTAAGAGACCATTCCTGACCCAAAACACTTCTAATCTAAACAGACAAGACAGAGTGTGGAGGGGAAATGCGGTACAGAGGTGAAATTACTTGCCCAAGGTTACACAGAGCCAGGAATAGTGACTATGTCTCCTGACTCACAGTCCAGTACTCTATTCACTGGACCAAGCTGCCTCTCTGCATGATGAATCCTGCCACATTTTAGTATCATCCATTGTTCTGAGACTGAGAAAGTATCTGTCCACAGCCTTGTCTTATGCAAAGAGGTTATTGGTGTGTAAGTGGAACACTGATCATACAGCAATCGTTAGAACAGGGACTGCCAAGGTGAAGATGCATTCTTAGAAAGATTAATTTATACTATACAGGTACAACGTTAACTATCAGGGCACAGTGTCATTTGGGGGAATTTCTTGGGCCATATTAAAAGCTACTCTAGTATTGATCTTACCCATTCATGACCACTTGCATCACTACACTGAGGGTAGGGGATCATAAGTGCACATTCATAAACAAAGAGCCATATTGTGTGAACATATAAGTTGCTAACAAATGTAAAACAGCAAAATCATGAACAGTTACATCACCAGAAAGCAACCTCCAGGCAGAAATCTCAATCTTCCAGCACACATTCCGATATTGCAAACATAGCTCCCTAGTCTAGCTCTAAACAAAAACTGCAACCTTCCCTCTGACCTTCATCCATGAATAGGCCTCTTAAACCGTCAACCCAGCACTAAATGCAAATATAATCCTATTCACCATTCTTTAATTAATGGTGAATTAAATGCATTGATTTTCACTTCCTCAGTGGAGAGTGTGAAAACTTAGAAAGTATGTGATCTCTGGTACAGATAAAGGAATGGGTACTTTGCACAGTGTACAAAAAAGGGTAGCTTGCTGCAACATACACACACTCATAAACACGTGTACAATATATCAGATAAACACATTGTCACAGGATAGACTCACTCCTGAGTTGCCTCCTCATGGATGCATCTGGGGAAATCAGCTCTCATCCGGTCTGGCACCCGCTTCCGTCATTCGCTCAGCCCGCAGCTTCTCTCTCTTCAGGACTCAGCCCTCCAGCTAAGTCATTATACGCCACACACACACACCCCCCTCCAGGGTACCAAAGTCTCTCTGGACCAGCTGTCCGATTGGCGTCTCCCACAATCCTGTGCCACTTCTCAGTGACTGGTACCAGGTTCCAGCCCTGGGACCTTAAAATCAGCAGTCAATGTCTGCAAAATCTCTAACCTTGCTGCTCTTTCCCTGGGCTGCTTCCTAGTCCACCTCCCACAGATTTTCTTCTCCACCTTTCTGGGTAAACCATTCCCACAGAGCCAGGAACCAGAGGCTTCTGTCCCCACTCCTGGTTTCCTTCTTTTCCCTCTCTAAGCCCAGAGAATGACTATCAGCTTCTACACTGCAGCCCCTTTCTTCTTCAAACTTCCTGGCTTTAGACCTTAGCCAACTTCTCCCCCAGAGGGGCTTTATCAGCCATTAGTAATTTTCAGTTAAGTCTGCCTCTCCACCAGGTGCAGCCAATAAAGGTAATTGGTCCTAGCTGCACCAACTTAACCCCTTCATGGTTGGTGTGGAGTGAACAGCCTGGCAAACATATACATACAACTCACCCCATAAAAACGTGTACAATACATCACAAACACAGAACACATCCCATAAACACATGTGTACAATAGACCATATAAACACACAAAACATCCCATAAACACAGAGGGTATGTCTACACTGCAGTTAGACACCTGCGGCCAGCCTGTGCCAGCTGACTCAGGCTTTTGGGGCTCAGGCTAAGGGGCTGTTTAAATTGCAGTGTAGACGTTCTGGCTTGGGCCGTAGCCTGAGTTCTGGGACCTTCCTACCTCGCAGCGTCCTGAGCCCAAACATCTACAACACAATTAAACAGCCCCTTAGTCCCAGCCCTGTGAGCCCAAGTCAGGTGGCACAGGCCAGCCACGAGTTTTTGATTGCAGTGTAGACATACCCATCCATACAACCTCAACTATTTTTAAAAAGGCAACCCGTTCTACATTTGACCCATAAAGGTCACCATTGGGTGCAGAGGAAGGTTGTGACTTTGGTTTGCAGTTGGATTGAGCAGTGGTGTCGGGAGTATCGGGATTGCGAGCTGGGAGGAGCATGTAGCATTATCTGAGATTTCTGCTTGGCATTTATTTGCTGATGCCTTAACTGTTCATTCCTCTGTTCTGAGTGCTGGTGTGGATGGTATCAGCTATAGGCCAGCAACCTTCATCCGTCACGCAGCGTGTGGATTTTTTATTGTGAATTTCCTTGTTTTCTCATTGCACATCGTAAGTTCTGTGGTGTCCGACAGGAGCAAAGGGAGAAAGGCGGGGTAACAATAATACTGCCACGTTTCTGCATAACTAGCAGTGTGCACAGTGTAGCTTGCCACCTGCCTGGCTGTTATCCACCACGGTCACTACAGTGCTGCACACAGCCTTAACTATGGAACTGCTGACGCACCTCCACAATCTCACACTGTCCCACCCGGTGCCCAGGCTCGAACCCTCAGATGGTTTTTACTCTGAGTGTTTTTACTTCTAGTGCACAATTATTAGGTACACTTTCTGATTGACTGATGAGTCACCACCTCTCCGGTGTCGATTAAAAGGTATAATTAGGTCTGTCTTCATCTTTGACTCTGTGCGTGTGTTAAATGTGTTATTGGTTACGCACATCAAACAATAAAGGGTTTTATTTTACAAATAGCACCAGTGTGTGGGAGTGGTGGGGTGAGGCAGAGAGGAAAAACTTTGGCTTTTCAATGGTACATTGTAGGCAGGTATGCTACAGTAAGAATTATACTGAGACTCACCAGTTCAGCTCACACAGGGCTCAGTCCTGTAAAGTGCTGAGTGTCCTCAATTCCTACTCAAGTCAGTTGCAATTTTTGACCAGGACCAATCTGGTCGGTGTCCTAGAAACAAAAGGCTCCAGAGTACCCAACAAATCTTCCTGAGCTATCTTCTTCCAGCCTTTGAGCCTTTGCCACTTGCTCTGGATCTTTGCTTTTACTTCTTGAGGTCTCTATGGCCCAAATCTTTTCTTCTGTGAAGTCAATGGGAGTTTGCCCATGACTCCAAATGAAGCAGGATCACACGCTACACACATTAATATCTCTGGATTTGTTGTTTGGGGATGGGGATTTTCAAAAGCACTCAAGTGATTTAGGAGCACACATCCCATGGAAAGCCTTGTGCTCCTAAGTCAGTTGGGCCCCTTTGAACTTTGGGCCCCCCCATGGTGACACTGAAAATAAATATTCTGCCAGTCTGCAGTTCTGACACCTTTAGACACCTCGTTGAATATTCTGCACCAGTACAGTGAGCCATGCAGCTGAAGCAAAGGTGCTAGGTGCTAGCCCAGCATTCCCTTAATAGCCATTTATTTTTTACACAGTAAAATGTGATTTTCACTGTGCTGGAACAAAAGGCTGAGTCCTACCCTTCATGCTGGGTGTCAGAAATAGATCTAGAGAGATGATGACTCACCTGTAATCGAGAAAAAGTGAATGGCATCAGAGTGAGATTTAAAAGGTAAATCTTTCTGACTCCATCTGCCAGAAGGAGGATATCGACCAACCCAAAGGCCCAGGCTGGTTTGGCGGGGAGAGCATAGAACATGGGTAACACTTTGCACTATTATAGCATTTTGTACACAAGGATCTCAAAGTGTATCACACATACATGCACGACGTGAGGTTAGGTCAGTAATATTATCCACATTTCTCTGACGGAGAAATTGAGGTACAGAGAGGTGATGTGGATTGCCCAGGATCAGAAGATGAGTCAGGAACAGAACCCAAGAACTCCTGATCATATGCCTATTCAGGTCAAAAGGGCAGGTGGATTCCTCTCTGTTACTTTTCCTGCTGCTTCTGGCCTGAGCCAAGGGATGATGTCAGAGTTGTCATGGCATCAGTATCTATGGAACTGAAATCATCACCCTTGTGTAAGAAAAACTAAATAAGGACATGATCCTGCCGGGGGCGGGGAACTCCCTTTGGAATCAATGGGGTTTTCCCTCCACAGGACCTGTACCTGATTTCTTTTTCTTCTTCATCCTTTAGTGCGGGGGGAGGGGAGAGAGGGGAGGAATAGCAGGGGGAAGGGGAAGAGACGTCTCCAGTCTAACAGAATCTGTGGCTGGCAAAGGCAGTTTCTCATTTCCTGCAGGAGGAAAACACAAGCTACAGCCCAACTGCCCCTCACTTCCTATTTTTAGGCCAAATAACAGGTACATAGCAGTTTAGTGACTAGAACCCATCCCTCCAGTGTGGAGGAGGGGGTTCCACTGACCCAAGAGCCAGTAAATGCACCTGCAAATGCACCCATCTTAAGCTATCAGTCACACTAGTCCATGCCTGACCCTGTGACCCTTTTCTGCTTTGCATCCGCTCCCCTTAGATATAAACCCAGGGTCCCAGCCACTTTTGTTGGAGCCTTTCACCACTTGGGATGGGTGGGAGGATGGGGAATGCCCCCTCCCAGCGTGGGCTCCGTCATTGTTCCTCACACACATCTTTCCTTCTTTCCAGCTCACCAACGACTGCACTGGGGTGTCTGTTGGTGGCTCTGGGGGAGGCGCTTATCTCTGAGTTGCTTGAGAGGGCAGAAAACTGAAGCTTGGTTTGCTGGGCTTCTGCTATAACTGCAGTTTTGCATGTGTGGGCCACTGTGGAAAGAGGGTGAGAAGGTGGGGTAGCTTTCAAGAAATCAGGAAGCACATTTGCAGAGGGATGGGGGTGGGTAGGGGCTGGTGCTGCTTTTCCCACCTGCATTGCTGCCCTATTTTGCCCTGTGCACCTCCTGGATTACCCTCTTCAAGGCAGTAGCCCCACTGCAACAAGGGGAGGCAGAAAAACAGCAGGCCATTTGCAGGGCATGCAGCCTGAAGCACCCAGTTAGCAAAACAGAAATCCATGCAAAGAGCAGAGCTGGAGATTGTGCAGTAACAAATCCGGGCGCAATGACGAAGAGAAGGATGCACCTGTATGTCCACCCAGCCTCCCCCCGTCCGCCCTCCATGGTACCTCCCACTCTGTAACCCACAGACGAAACCAGACGAGCCCATGCGGCACGGAAGAGGGGTCAGTGGCAGAGAGGCAGGCTCTGGCTGCACCAGCCGCGCGGCAAGGTCTGTGCGCGAGACACGGGCAGGCGGTGGCGCGAGCCTCCCCCACTCCCTGCTCGCACGCGCCGGCTGGGTCTCTGCTGCACAAGCCAGGAGCCGGGGCGGCAAGGCTCAAGCAAGCAGCCCAGCGCCTGGGGAAGATGGAAGGAGCCTCCTTCGGAGCCGGCCGGGCTGGGGGGGCCGTTGACCCTGTGGATTTCCTCAAGCAGCCTCAGACCATTCTCAGGATAGTGTCCTGGGTAAGGCAGAGCCTCGTCATTTTAAATGGGCGTGTGTTTATTTTTCCCTGTGGAGACATTGCTCCCTTCCATCCTCCTTTTCTCTGGCACCCTTCCAGCCTGGCAAGATGGTAATGCAAAGGGGGCTGCTGGAGTATTAGTAATACCTTGCGTGCGTGGCTTTGTTTTGGCTTTTAATTTTTGGTGACCGAGGTTGTTTGCTTTATTTTGCTAAGGAAGAGGGAGAGGAAATGGGGACTGCGATCAGGAAGGGTGCCAGGGGGAAACGGCTAACCATTTTTTCTCACCAGTTTGTGCTGTGTTTCCTCCCGAAACCCCCATCGAAATAAGAAGAGCAATAGTCACAAATGCTGGGTTTTGTATTATTATTACAGTATTTGCAGAGTGGAAAGATCACTTCTGTTTACCCACGGAAGTGGAAGTCTCTGCCTCCTCTCTGTAAAAAGGAGGGTATTTTTAGGGCTTTATTTTGCAGCTGTAGATGGGTCATTTTTCATGGTCTCTGTCTTTTCTGATGCTTAAACAAATGGTAGGATGATGAGGAAAATCCTGTAGAAATCGTTGGTCAGAAGACATTTTTCTTCTATACTTCATGATCTAGCCCTACCTAGATCCCTTTGCTAATGCAAAATGATATAATGGTTTGCTGGCTGGCTATTTTTTGTTTTAAATTCCTATTGCCTTGCCGAAAGCACCAGACTGAATATGTTTTCAGGACACCTGCTTTAGAGTGGCTTTGATCTTTGGTGTTCCATGGGCAGCAATATGGAAAGTACGGAAAGAGCTTCGCTTAAATTGATTATGCCAGGAGGTACAAGGGTTAAGGCTGACACTCCACCCATAACTTGCCTCATTTTGCTTAGGTTTTATGTGCTGAGACCTGCAAGCCTGTGCTGATGGCCCTTTGGTGAATTCGGAGCCTCAGGCCGTCTCCTAAAAGACCTTAACCAAAAGCCCACATCACAAAAAGCACCTCTAATGTGGTCCCATTGATGGAAGCCTCAGTAGAGAGGCCAGGGGTTGAGATGGCGGTGGACCCCGTTTTCCAATTTAGAGGCAGAGAGGGTCCTTTTAGGTTCAGGATGAGGTACAGTGGTGTATGGGGGAAGCTTGCACTGCTGTTGCCCTCGCTCTACCTGTTCTGTGGATTGAGGCCTTCAGTGTCCAGAGCAGTCAGTGTGTCATCTTTCCATAAGCACATAAGTAAAACCATTCAAGTGACACGCTTAAGGGCTTTGCTGGGTCAGAGCCGTAACCCATTCTCCCGTACTTTGAGAAAGCATCTGAATGGAGAATGCTGCATGGACGAAAATGGAGGCCGGTTGCCGGCACGAAACTTCAAGGCAGGTTGTAGATCGGTTCTTTTGTACATGATTGACATGGTGCGTGGCAGTGACATCTTCATAGATGCTTACAATGCATCACCTGGATCCAGCATGGAAGACTTGGGTACTGCAGTTGGGACACAGGAACAGAACACAGAATACGGCATTAAAAAACAGCTCAGAAAAAGTTCCCGCACATGTTCAGTGACTGATTGATCACATAGGAATCTTCGGGAAATTTTAAACCACAAGGGATCTGTCCCAAAGTGAGAAGGAAGGGCCTGAAACTGCCAGCACTTACACGTCAGATTAATTCTAAGCATGTGAGTCACCGCACTTACTTTGAATCTATTCATGTGCTTAAATTTAAGCGCAAGCATAAGTTGTTTTTAGGGTCAAGGGCCTGATCCAAAGCCCATTGAAGTCAAAGGGCATCTTTCAGCTCACTCCAGTGGGCTTTGGATGAAGCTCCAAACGCCTGCATGAGTTCATTGAAAAATGCTGCAGGCCACGTTTTCCAAACATAGGCCCTGATTCTGCAAGCTGATCTTTGCAGGGAGCCCTACACAGATCAGCTTGCAGGCTTGGGGCCATTGCTGGTACACATTTGGGTCTTGCTCATAGTGGCCACCTGAAGTGTGCTTCAATCAAATCAGCTTGAATTGGCTTAAAGCCGTGTTTCAGACAACAAGACTCCTGTGTAGATGGACAAATTTCCTTGTGGCCTCGCATGTCCTGATGAGTTAGCCTGGTGCATTTGTTGGGTCTGTTTTTCTCCTGAACGCCAGTCCACTTGTGTGTGGGCAGCCATCAAATCCCATAACATTATTGCATCCTGCAACCTCAAGAAAGCACATTCACTGTACCTTACATTTTTAAAACATTGTTTGCAGACTTTGTAAGCCCATGCGGTGTGTGAAGGGTACATTCAGAAGACAAAAAGCAGTTTTTGCCTGCAAGATCATTTCAGCAGTTTTTGCTGCAGTCATACCCCAGATTGCTGGATTTGGGGTATGAAATGCAGCTATCTTGGCATAGAATATTATTTTGATTGTTTATTATTTCCACTGCAGTAGCACTTAGGACCCCCAATCATGGACCAGGATCCTGGGGTTTGCGAGGTGCTGTACAAACCCAGTGCAAAAAGACTGTCCTTGCCCCCAAAGGACTTGTAATCTAAGTAGGAGGAAGAGCAGAGTTTATCTGTTGTTTACTAGGAGTGATTCCTTCTCTTTATACCCCTTAAAGCACGTGTACCTGTATATTTTTAAGCATGCAGTTAAAGTAATTGGACCATCCTCCAAGATTCAATCCCTTCCAACTGCCCAACCCAATCTCCTCCAGTGTGAAATTGCCCTGACACCAAAGGGTTGGCTACCAGATGCAGTATGGGTTGTTGGATATTTTTGGGTGGGGGCACAGAGGGGAACAGGAGAGTCATTTTACTGTTCATCCAATGTTCGAGCCCAGTTGTGCTTGCTTCTCTCATCAGAGTAGTTTAATTGAAGTCAGTGGAAGCCTTCTTGGGTGCAGCAGAGCAATACAAGACCTACGCATTATGCATCAGGGGTTGAGATGGCGGTGATCCTCCACCATTGAAATCAATGGGAGTTTCATTGTTGGTGTCACTGGGAGCAGGCAGGGCCTAACTCCTTCAGTGGGATTCTGGCAGCACAGAGTTATACAAGGGCTGCCGGATTGATCCCTTTGACATTTGGGGGCCTTATTGATGACTATTGACCAGCTCAGAAATCCCCAGTGAAGTTTACGGTTCCAGATAGAATGAAAATGATTTCTTTAAATATACTATAGCATTAATTTCTGAAGAACAAAAAGGTCCTGCCATATGCAGAACTTTCTGACGATCATATCTGGAAAGCCCCATGAAACTGTTCCTCTTTTGTCTCTTCACTCATGGCTGATACAGCTTGTGAGTCAAGATATGATAACACTTGTTTTTTATGGAGTGAAATGAACTTGGTAGTAAACAGTAGTTCATGCGGTCGCCAGCTCCTTTCTTTTACATCTGTCCTTTTATTAATATATACAGTTTTAAATTGTTGTATAGTGGAAAATGGGACACTTTCAATTTAATGTAGACATACATTTATGTTTGATGTTTAAACTAAGTTTTAACAAACCTACTCTGAATAGAAAGATTTTGACAAATTCTCTTGAATCTTAGGAATGGGTTTTTCCCCCCGCTAAGGCTGGAAATACCCAAACACTAGTGCAAGTGTAGGCTTGGAAGGATTCGATTGTTGTCAGTAAACGTTGATAAACATTGATTGCACTGTGCGCACACAAACCAGTGAAAAAATATTTCCATCAGTAATAATCGAAATGTACAGACCGGCAAAGTAAGAAAAATGCTGCTTGAGAACTTCTTAGAATTAAACTCGATAAGTTTATGGAGGAGATGGTATGATGGGATAACATGATTTTGGTAATTAATTGATCTTTAAATATTCATGGTAAATAGGCCTAATGGCCTGTGATGGGATGTTAGATGGGGTGGGATCTGAGTTACTACAGAAAATTCTTTCCTGGGTATCTGGCTGGTGAATCTTGCCCATATGCTCAGGGTTTAGCTGATGGCCATATTGGGGGTCGGGAAGGAATTTTCCTCCAGGGCAGATTGGAAGAGGCCCTGGAGGTTTTTCACCTTCCTCTGTAGCATGGGGCACAGGTCACTTGCTGGAGGATTCTCTGCTCCTTGAAGTCTTTAAACCACGATTTGAGGACTTCAATAGCTCAGACATAGGTGAGAGGTTTTTTGCAGGAGTGGGTGGGTGAGATTCTGTGGCCTGCGTTGTGCAGGAGGTCGGACTAGATGATCATAATGGTCCCTTCTGACCTTAGTATCTATGAATCTATGAATTTGGTTTAAGGCAGTTTACTTCGTGTATTTTGACATATGATACTGGCAGTTTGTGTTTTGATGGTTATAAAGCTTTAACTCTCTAAATGTCAGTGTCTTCTGTCCTTAAATAATCACTCTGACCCCACCCCATTCTTTGATTCTGCATAATTTCCTGCAACTGTGAAAATTTAAATAGATAAAAATCTACAAAAAGGCTTGAAAATAAACATCAATATTATCCACTGAAATGATAAAAAAAATCAAATTCTGCCTTATCTAAGCACGTGTGAACCAGAAAACAAAACTAATTATAAGTGGAAAATGAAGCCGATTGGCCTCTGTGAGACGTGACAACAGAAATAGTGTAAAGGGGGAAAAGAAAATATAATTTTTGAAATTCTTTAATTATTTATAACCTCAGGTCCTGATCCGGCTGCACAGGACCATAGAATGACTGGCTCCCCAGGGTGCTTTGAACGACCATGCTTGCATGGAACCACATAGGCTTCACTTGGGCTCCAGGGCCTGCCAGAGTGGATCTCAATGCAGGAGCAGGGCCTGCGTTGATTAGTAACATAGATAAGGAATTGGATATTTAAAAAAAAATATTTGGGGGCCAGATGCTCATCTGGTGTGAATCATAGAGATATCGGGCTGGAAGGGACCGCGGGAGGTCATCAAGTCCAGCCCCCTGCGTTGAGGAAGTCCCAAGTAAACCTAGACCATCCCTGACAGTGTTTGTCCAACCTGTGTTTAAAAACTGCTAATGATGGGGGTTCCACAGCAATGCACCATCCACCTCTTTGGAGCTT